TGCATCGGCAGGCGGACTCTCAACGACTGCGCCACCAGGGAAGCCCTGGATGACTCTGTTTTTAACTCTGGAAATTCCTCCCTGCTCTGTTCTTGGCCCCCATCCTCCTTTCTTCCCCCCAGGGCTGCAGCTGTGCAGGTGGTGCCCACGCATGTTCTAACCTCTCTTCTCAACCTCTCTACTGGATGCCCTGTTGTCCCCTTAAATCCATAATGACTCCTTCTGTGCCTGTATTGAGAGTGCACTCAGTGGCAGCAACACACACACACATGCACACCACCACCACCAAACACAAAACACAAAACAAAGGCTTGGAAATGAATGAATTACTGCCTACAGGGCAATGACCCAGTTAGTATCTTCTTTAAGAGTTTTACCAAAGACCCACCTTCTCCAGCAGAGCCCTGCCTGACCAGCTCCTTTGGGTCCATGCAGGTCTTCAGTCTCTTTCTTTCTGTTCTGTAGTCATCCCACCTCTCAGCTGTCTTTGGGCTGATAGCAGTGAGATTAGCTGTTTTTAGGGAATGAGTTCTATATGCCTGGCACTGTGTTATGATGCTTTGACTGTATGATTTCTAATCCTGTGGTAATCCGGGCATGATTACCCCCGTTTTACAAAACAGGTTCCAAGGAGTTACGTGCTATTGGCTCACATCTCTTGGGTACCATTTGTTCTAAGGACTTTACATGGATTATCTCACTGAATCTTTACAACAGCCAAGGGGTAGATTGTATTATCATCCCCATATTATAGTGAGGAAACCAAGGCACAGAGAGGAGGTGGGGTAACTAGCTCAATGTGCCACACCCAGCATGGAGTTGGGATTTGAACTTGGGTCTGTCTGATTTCCAGCCCTCAGGCTCCATTTAGTTCTGTCACTCATGCTTCTCTGAATACTTACCTGTCTCTGTCTGTACACTCCCTTGGGCTTGAAGTCCCTTGCACCTCAGTCATTTTTTCTTCTTTTATCCATCCTCCTGGTGCCTGGTCCTGTGCCCCACATACACCAGGCTTCCCAGAGATGTGGGCTGCCTGATAAGAAGAGTTCAGTGCATTTCCATGGTGACCAGAGCCTAGGGAGATTCAGCTGATGTGCCTTCCAGCCCTTCCTCTATGAGGACAGAACTGCAGGCTGGATTTGGAATTGTGCCCATACACAGATAAAATGCCCCAAATGGCACAAGGCCCTCTTTAATATTTGGATCCAGAGTTAGAGGAAGTTGGCAGTCAGCTGACTTCCAAGAAGTCTTTTCTCCACTTCTCTCTTTCTGTCCCTGCCTGGATGGGCTCATCACTGGCCCTGCTCCTCTTTACAGGTGTATAAGCTCCTCTACGCTTCCCGTCTGGCAGATTATGGCCTTGCGTCCCAGGCCTTGCATTACTGCGAAGCCATTGGCACAGCCCTCCTGAGCCAGGGAGAGAACAGTCACCCTGTGCTATTAGTGGAACTCATCAAGGTGAGCTTCTCAGAGGGTTCTCTGCAGGTGTGTTATCTTCAGCGTTCAGAGAAAGCTATTGTAAAGCAGCTCAGACACCCCATTTCATCTTCTTTGAACATGCTGTAAAATTGGAGCCCATGGCTGTCTTTGACCACGTATGCATGTCCAGATGTGATAAGCAGAGGCCTGACACTGCACAAAGAAGGATGTTATGGGCTGGGATGGTGGCGGGGAGGGACAGAGTGAAATTGGGGGACTGAAAACCAGGCATGTGCTATGCAGGAAATTCATCCTTGCATCTGCTTTTTTGGTACAGTAAAACTGCCTGTTACGGTGAACTGTTCTAATGATAAAAGCTGGGCTTAGAAAATATATTTTAGTGGTTAAAACAGGAAATGATCCTTATTAAAATGCTTTTAAATGCATGGAATATTTTATCACATGTGAGATACATTCAAAAAGAGAAAACAAAACATATCAACTTTTAGTTCCTGAGAAAGAAAACTATCAGGCAAATAGTTGTTCCAATTAATTGAAGAAAAATCCATTAGCTGAGAGTAAAAAGGCAGCCTACTGTCAATTTTTTCTTTGCTTTAGATGAGGCCCAGTGTTGGATTCTGTAATCAATAAAATCTGTGGTACTGAGCCCCCTTGATGGCAAATTTCTGCCAACAGGATGATGGTTGTAGGCAGCTCAGGACCCAGAATGGAGAAGGGAAGTCTGGGAACTTAATGATGGAATAGCCTTACGATACAGGCAGTCCCTCGACCAGCAGCACAGGCGTCTCCTTGTAGGGAGCTTGTTAGAAATGCAGAATCTCAGGTCCCACAGATTTCTGGGATCAGAGCAAGCATTTTAGCAAAGGTCCCAGGTGGTTCCTACCAGGCTTGAAGCTTGAGAAGCGCAGCTTCTGAGGGCAGCCTTGCAGAGACATAAAGCAGAGTAACAGTTTCTTCTCTGTTGCTTTCCTCCTCCCCTGTTGCTAGTTTATTTAGTGTCTAGCAACAAGATGGGTTAACTGTTTGTTTATGTTGCAATTCGGGGAAGATATCTGCTGAATTTGCTGTTTGGCAATTCTTTGTAATCTGGTTTACGAGTCAAGGCTCCCTTCTTTTTTCTTACTGCCTCTCCCCATGGTCTGTCCATTTCACTTACTTCTCTCTCTCCTTTTGCCTCTCTTACCGTCTGGAAACCTGGCACAGCTTGCAGACAGACTGAAGCTGTCAGATCCTCTGGTTTTAGAACGCCACCGCCGTCACCGAGGAGACAGGGACCTGGAGCCGGACTGGCTGGTACACCTTCGGGGGCATCACAAGGAGCTGCAGGTAAGTGGGGGGCAGGTCAGCAGGGTGGACCTCTGTTTCCCTCTTGGCTGCCCTAGACCCAGAGTAGGCAGGCACTGACCTCAGCAAGCCCCCAACCCCATGGAGGGCTCTGGGGGTCCCCTGTCACCCATGAGGCACAGCCTGACTGGGGAAGGGGTGGCACTCAGCTTCCCCGCTGCTGCCTCACCCCCGGGTGGAAACATTTTCCTGTGTTTGGTGTGAGACAGTGGGGCCCTCTTCCGAAGCACCCAGCCACCCTTCTCTGTGGTCCCAGAAAATACATTTTCTGACCATCAAAGCTTCCATCTCTCTGTGAGGAACAATGGCTCACAGTGGCCCTTGTCACTTTCATGTAATGTAGGGCAATTGTTTAAAAGACTTCCGGGCCTCTCCTTTTTTTGTTCTGACAATTGCAAAAGCGGCTGGTAGTAACTGTTATACAGTAATTGGAACAGGGCCTCCTCCATGTTGTTTCTCCCTCTGTCGCTGAGAAAGGGCAGGGGGATTTTTATAGGCACGCACAGCCCTTGCTTCCTACATGTGCTGTGGGCTCTGGGGCCCACGGTTTCGTTCCCTCCTCTTGCCCCTTCCTCTGGGAGAGGATGCTGCCCTGATCCCTGCCTGCTCTGGGCAGAGCTGGGAGGTAGGAAGGGCTGAGGCTGCCCCTCCCCCTCCCCCTCCAGCCCCTGCATTCACCTGCGACTCCCTTACCTTATCACTCCTGAAGTTTCTTTTCTGACTTAATTTTAAACGTGGTTCACTGTTTTTGTTTTTCTTTGTGTTACTTAAGAGGTGTTTACTTTATCTTAATAGCAAAAGGTAGCAGGAGACACTGGGGATCCTTGCTCTGCTCACTCGGATATTTTGGGAGCCAGAAAAACAACAGGTACCCAAACCAATGAACTGAATGTGTAATAGCTGACTCTCAGGATCTGATTATACGAGATAACGCAACCTAAAAGACTCTTCCCCTTCCCTTCCTGGAGTGCCTTCCTTGCCTGTGTCCATCTGACCCAGTGGTCTGGGCCCCCCCTCTCCATACAGCTCCGCTGACCACAGGCATCCCTGACACTTTTTTTTTTCCTTTTTTAAATTAATTAATTGATTTATTTTTGACTGCGTTGGCTCTTTGTTGCTGCGCGCAGGCTTCAGTAGTTGTGGCGCGTGGGCTCAGTAGTTGTGGCGCACGGGCTTAGTTGCTCCGCGGCACGTGGGATCTTCCCAGACCAAGGCTTGAACCCGTGTCCCCTGCATTGGCAGGCAGATTCTCAACCACTGCGCCTCCAGGGAAGCCCCTGTCCCTAACACTTCTGTTTCTGCATTATTAGAGTTTTTGCTTCACATTCAGGTTTTAATCTTGTTATGTTGTGTTGTTATCTAATTGCTTCACTTGTGTCAGTACTGTCTCCCTAGCTGAATACATTCCTTGAGGCCAGAGGTGGTGGGTTATCTGTATTTCACGTTAGCGGTGGGGACACAGGAAGCGCCTATGGTGTTTGAGCATCAATTGCCACACGCGTGAAATAGGTTTCAAAGTGTTTTCAACAGATCCCTCCTTTCCCTTCAGGATGTCTCTGAGTATTGGGTTGGGCAGACGTTGTTACCCCAGTTAATTCTGTGCCCTTTCCCCAAACAGCACTCCCTGGTGGGGTCAGGACGGGGCATCATCTTTTTACTTCCGGCTGTTTCCCAGCCTTTTTCACTTCCTTCAGGGATAAGCGAGGGGGCAGCAAGGAATGGCAGGCCCTGGTTTCTGTTTCCCAGCTTTGCTGCTGCATCCCAGAATCTGGGAGGGTGAAGGGCTGCAAGAGAGCAGGCTGGGTGTTTGAGTGGTCACTTCCGCTGGGAAGCAGCTGTGTCTCCTGTCACCCAATGGAGCAGGTGGGTCAGATGTCCACACCAGTTCCATAACCTTGGGGCAGCCATTGTCCCCGTCCACACCTTGGTCTGTCTCTTCAGCAGCACGACGGAGCCAGAATGAATACCACCAAGGTCCCTTCCTGGGCCAAGGTTCTGCTTCTTTGAAAGCAAAGCCATCATTTCTGTAGTCTGATTTGGGTTTTAACTGGCAACATTCTAAGTTTCAAGTACCCAAGTCCCTTAGGAGATCCTTAAAAGAGAAAGTTTATCCAAAAGCAAAAAATTGTGGAATTAAATGAGTTGGTAATTTCTGCCCTCCCAACCCACTGGTTTAAGGCTCAGAGATCATACAAGGTAGTGAGGGAAATGGTTTTGTAAACTCTGAGTCATAAGCGGTGAGAGGTGTTACAATTACTGCTGTGTTGTACTTGTCATCACATCGATGGCAGCCGCACCAAGCGGCCTGTCCTTGTCACTGCTTTCCAAAGGGCAGGATTGTTCCTGGTGTGATTAGTCCACACAAGTGCCACATTACAGGTCTCACTTCCTCCTCTTTGCCCTATGTCCTTAGACGACACTTTCTACCAGGAACTTTCTGGACATCAAGGCAACACAGAAGCCCTTGGGGACTGCTCAGCCCTGTGGCCAACACTGGAGCCGATGGGCCCGGCCCATCCCAGCGCACAGCAGCCCTTTCCCCTCCAGCCCAGCTCCTACCCAGCAGGAGGAGGTTCCGGGCAGACGGGGGTCCCGGTGCCTCTTTACTCAGTTCCTGAGGCCCATCTGCCAGGGACCGGTGGCAGCGTGGCGGTGACAGGGACTCCTGGAGGAAGGGCCTGGGAGGAAGCCCAGCAGATGCACCCACCCCCTGGTAAGACCTGCCAGCGAGGCAGTGAACCTTGGGTGACGAGGTGTCTAGGGGAGCAAGCAGAAGCGGGAGGTGCAGGGACCAGTGCAGGGTGTGGGGTGGGAGCTGTTAAAGCCCCGAGTGGTGGGTGTGCACATGACTGAGGGCCTGGTACTTCACGTTCTTCTGAGGGAGACGGCTCTCTCCCTTTCCAGCCCACGTCTCTACTGGGACAAGCATAGCACAGCCAACCGCAGCCACTCTTGCCATCCCCTTGGATTCTGTAGTTTCTAGGATCTCGGCTGGAGAAGGCAAGGAAATGCCACCTGTGCCTGGAGCTGTAGTTTAGGCCAAGTCCTCTTTCTGAAGTCGTCAGTGTCAGGGACTGCGGGCAGAGGCTCGTGCTTCTGTCTTCTCCCATCAGGCCTTGTACAACAGGGGCCGAGTATGGGTGAGCATTGCTGAATGATGCCAGGGAAGTGCGGGAAACCACGCAGAAGGATCAGATCTTAGAGCTTCTAAGACAAGGTCCTGTCCAAGATGGGAGACTCACATGGAGGGGAAGGTCAGGGAGGATCCCTGCGATTCAGCTTGATGTGGCCCTGATTTCCGGGGTTCCTGAGGAATGACCTTGGTTAAGGGTGAAGGTTGGGTGAGCAGCATGTCCTGGGGTGGCTGGAATTCAGAGGCTTGTGCAAATGGACTTTGCATTTACTGTGATGCACTTGGAGCTATGGGCTCAGAGCTCCAGCTGCTTTGCAATTAGGAAAAGCCAACTGTGTCCCCATTACCCTTCTTTGGGATAGATGGGAAAGGCCCCACTTCACATCACGATTTCTGTTGTGTTTTGTGCCATAGGAGAGAACACAGTGTCTCCAGAAACCTTCCAGCATCCTGATGGGCAGAAGGTTGTTTCCAAGCCGCAGGTGAGAGGACACAGCCCAGCAGATGCGGTGCCCACTCTGAGCTGTGGGTTTCCTTCAGTTGCCACCGTTTCTCTGCCACTCACAGATGCCTTCCTGTGCCTTGCACCCACCCTCTCTTCCATGTTTCACCTTGTTTCTTTCTACACCAGATCCTGAGAGGTGGAGAGGACGCTTGTTCCGGTTCATGTTCAGTCCTGCCAACCTGTATCCATGGGGGCAGGGCCGGCAGGGCTGGGTGTAGCTTTGAACTCACACATCTGCTCCCTCTGATGCCCTCTTCTTACTGTTGCACTAAACACTGGCTGTGCTCTGCCCCACCATGGGAGACTCTTAATATTTCTTTCTTTTAATTTTTACCTTGCTTTATTTCCAAGAAGGACCTACCGTAGTTGTATCTCTTCTGCCCAGGTGTGCCGTCAGGTCTTGGAGGGAACCACGTCTAAGTAATAATCCAGCCAGCTGTTGAATGAATGAATCCCTTCCCTCCAACAGCAGTCACTGCTGGTCCCAAACCTGCCTCTCTGGAGGCGAACTTCCTCAAGTTGTAACCGGGCTGCAAGGCTTAAAACACTTTTATGCTTTACTTTTTTTTTTTTTCTAACTGAAATATTAGTACGTTATTGTTATAGAAAACTTGAAAAATGAAGAAAAAGTGTCATATAAAGAGTCAAACAGACATCACTCAGAAGCCCATAGTCAAATATTTTCCTTATTTCCTTCTAAAATTTTTTCTATGTACGGGTTTCTCCTGCTAGCCGAATGTAGAGCCTTTGCATGAAACCTTTCATAAGTCTAAATGGCATGAAGGGAAGCAGTTACCTCAGTACACATCTTGCTAACAATGCACAAAATAAATCGAAAGGAAATACAGGTGCTCACAGATACAGTTCAAAGCTATGGCATCTTGATGTGGAGATGCTGAGCGTAGTTTCTGGGAAGGAGCTTGGCAGGCCACTCTCACTGCTTGGGGTACGCTCTGCCTCTATAACGGCTCCTACAAAACAAATGCTGAACGCTTTTTTCACTTTTTGCCTTTTTTTTGTAAAAGCGGAAATCCTCTTTGAACTTTTTTTTGGTTAGGGAAAACAGGTACTAATGTAGGTCTTTGGTAAAAGCAAAGTGGCATAATGCGGACTTTCAAAAAGTGGGGGAGACCTGTCTGTGTATATATGTGTGTATATAAATGTGTATAGATACACACATGTGTTTTTAAATGGTTAAGAACATATGTAGGTGAAACTTTATTTTCTACTTATTTAATACTATAAAATTGAGACTTTCCATGTCATTCCTAAATAGGATTTTTAATATTGGTGTGATAAAATCCATTGTATGGAAATAGCATCACTCATGCATTTATTCATTCACAAATACTGAGCTCCTACAACATACCTGGCACTGTTACAGGGGCTGGGGGTACACAGGGAAGCAGACAAAGCCTGCCCTCATGGGGTTTCTGTTCCATGGATGTGACTGCAAATAAACCACTGTGTGCATGAAGGATGTTAACTTTACATGGAGTGGAAGGGAAGGCATCTCTGAGGTCAGCATGGAGGGTGGACAGAAGCCAGGTGGGTATTCAGGGAACAAGTGTTCCAGGCAGAGGGAATAGGGAGAGCAAAGGGCCTGTAATGGGACTGACTTGGTGCAATCGAGGAAGAGCATGGAGTCACTGTATCTAGAAAGTGGGGAGCAACAGGGGAGAGGGCTAAGAAGCAAGACCAGAGAGGCAGAGAGAGACTGGGTCATGGAGGGCCTGGTAGGCCCTGGAAGGAGCTCAGATTTTAATTCATCTTTCCCCCATTGTTAAACACTTCAAAGTGTGTCTCTTTTCTTTCCTACTCTTTCTCGCTACTCCTCCCTTCTCTTCCCCCCATATGTAAAACACAATGGTGGACATTCTAGTATATAAGCCCTTGTCTATTCCTCAAATTTATTCAAATAGGAGAAATTCCTAGAAGGAGAGTCAGACTGCTTAAGTTTAAATCCTTGCTCTGCCGCTTACTAGTTATGTGACCTTAGGTTGCTTAACCTTTCTTTTTTTATAAATTTATTTATTTTTGGCTGCGTTGGGTCTTCGTTGCTGCGCTCGGGCTTTCTCTGGTTGCTTCGGGCGGTGGCTTCTCTTGTCGCGGAGCACGGGCTCTCCCCACTGCTTTACTGAGCAGGTCAGGTGAGGGGGTACGTGTAAATGTGCCTTTGCAACCTGTCAAGTGCTATAAAAATGCTACTTCTGTTTTCTTTAATCCCAGGTGCCGCTGGTTCCCAGAGCACGAAATATTTCTGAGAGTTCCACTGTATCAGTCAAGGAGGATGACGGGGAGTCCTCCGACGAGGCAGAGAAGAAAAAGTCTTCCGAAAACACCGCCCAGAGAGGAAAGCTCGGAGACGCGAAGGAGAATACAAAGGTGGAGGGATTCTTCTCTTCCCAGATGGCGGAGCAGAGCTGGGAATCTGGGCTTCGGTGGTGCCCCTGCCCCTCCTGTCTCACCAGCATCACAGGTGGGGGGGGCTGGCTAATCTCATATTCAGAGGGAGAAGCAACCCTGCAGGCCACAGAACTCGCCCTCCACCCTCCAGGGCTCGGGGTTTGGCTGGCTCAGCTGGTTTCGCCCGAAGCCCGCCGGCAACGCGCCCCCCTCTGGAGATGAGGACGCATCTGACGGTCCTGACTCTGAGGTAACCTGGGCAGGGAGGGCGCGGAAGCTCCCCCTTCCAAGGGCCCTAGGAGGGTCTGGAGCTGGCATCTCTACCCTGGGCCGGGTGAAACAGGTTTAGTGATGGAAGATTGTAGGAAACAAATTGGTCCAGTGAGGGGAAAGGCAGATGATGAAAGGCCTTAGAAGTCAGGATGAAGAATTTTAACTTTCGAGGGCCAGGAGTTAACTTGGATCATTGAGCAGAGGACCGGCATAAAGAAAATGGAACTTGGGGGGAGAGAAGGCCAGCATCTGGCCACCATGTGGGCCCTGCAGGAGTACAAGCAGGCAGCACTGGTTTATTTACCGTCAGCGACACCTTCCTTTCTGCACTAAGCAGGAAGCCCCCCAAGCCTCTGCTCCTCCCGGGCCCAGCCCGGGCCTCTCCCCGACGCCGCCCCCAGCTCCCCAGTCTCTGCCGGACGCCGGCGCCTTCTCCAGGGACACAGGTACCGCCAACCTCATGTCCTCTGGGCTGTCTGTGGTCCTCTCTGCGCTCCCCGGGGGCGTGGGGGTGCCTTCTGGGAGTGGGGACTCCTCTGTCCCGAGCAGCGGGAACACCCCTGACTCATTGCTTCCTAGGTGGCAGTGAAGCCCAAGGATCAGCATCTGGGGCGGGGAGAGCCGAGGGCACGGGGAGTGGAGGCTTGTCGGGACCTCAGGTGAGCAGCCCACCAGCCGCCTCTGTGCCGACTGAACTTTCACGTGGGCTGCAGGTGCCGCCCTGTGAGGGCCTGACTCGTGGAGGATATGGAGAAAGCTTCTGTATTAGTTTGCTAGGGCTGCCAGAACGAGGTATCAGTGACTGTGCCATTTAAACACCAGAAACTTACTTCCTCCCAGTCCTGGAGGCTGGAGATCTGAGATGAAGGTGCCGGCAGTGTGGGTTTCCCCCACAGCTTCTCTCCTTGGCTTGTAGCTGGCCATCATTTCCCTGAGTCTTTACATGGTCTTACCTCAGTGTGTGTCTATGTCCAAATTTTCTCTTCTTATAAGAACACCAATCATAATGGGTTAGGGCCACTCTAATGGCTTCATGTTACCTTAATCACCTCTTTAACTTTTTTTTTTTTTTTTTTTTTTTTTTTTTTTTTGCGTTACGCGGGCCTCTCACTGTTGTGGCCTCTCCTGTTGCGAGGCACAGGCTCCGGACGCGCAGCCTCAGCGGCCATGGCTTACGGGCCCAGCCGCTCCACGGCATGTGGGATCTTCCTGGACCGTGGCGTGAACCCGTGTCCCCTGCATCAGCAGGCGGACTCTCAACCACTGCGCCACCAGGGAAGCCCTTAATCACCTCTTTAAAGACCCTGTCTCCAAATACATTCTGAGGTGCTGGGGTTAGGACTTCAACATGAAGTTTGCGGGGAACAGGAGTTAGCCCATAACTGCTTCCTTAGGTGATGTCTAGAGAACGGCCTTGGGACTTCCCTGGCGGTCCAGTGGTTAAGACTGTGCGCTTCCACTGCAGGGGTCGTGGGTTCAATCCCTGGTTGGGGAACTAAGATCCTGCATGCTATGTGGCATGGCCAAAAAAAAAAAAAAAAAAAAAAAAAAAACGGCCT